GGTGTTCAAAGCGTGAAGTGAAAATGGGAGTGTTTGTAGAAAAGGCAGGTCTCCAAGGGTTCCCAGCCAGCCCCGAAGGAGGATCTGACATACATCAATCCAGGAACTCATCACTTTTTCCCCACAAAAGAATGAAAGAAGCAAACCGAACAACAAAGCAATGCAAAGGAACAGTCTGAAAGATAGAGTGATGGAAGAAGAAGAGTCCCCTCAAATCAAAGGTTGAGAGACAGAAGTATGAAGCACTGTTTAAAAGCAAACAAACAAGGATCTGATCCTAACAGTAAGGAGCAAACATTTGCAGGACTATGAGCCAGGCCTTTGATTCACACCCCAAGCCAAAAATGCAGGTTGACAGATTAGTGTTTTCTGCAAGGAATGGAAGGTTTGCTGAGAAGATAGTACCTCTGACTAGGTTAACAGTTGTTAAGAGCTGCGCAGAAAACACAAACTGCGGGGCTCACAGGCGTTTCCCTGCGCCTGGGGAAAAGCCCCAGTCTCCTGACCACAGGCAGTGCCTGGGAGCAGCAAGGGTTGGGCAGGTATCGCCAGATGGCACTGTTACACAGTTTTGCAAGTCCTCTTCCTTCCTGTTCGAGTGAATGTTCAGTCTTGGAAAGACAGACGATGTTGGCCTTCCTGGTGGCTTTTCTGGTGCGAGGTGAGGAGCAGAGGAGCAGGGCTGGGAGGAAGCCTGCTGGTCCTGAGTGGGACTGGCACCTCTTTAAATCATCTCAGCCCCTGTTAGGTCTGCTTATCACACAGGAGCCTGCAAAACTTCCTAACACTGATCTCCAGCTGCTAGAGGAGAGGCTTTGGTGCAAGACTGGAAGACCAGTGTTGTCATATAGGTAGAGAGATACACCTCTGTGTGATGGGCTGTGTGCTGCCAACATGCCAGCAGAGTAGTAACAAAATGCTGTGAACATCACTGCAGTGGTGTGTTTCACCACAAGCTGTGTTCAGAAGAAATGACAGGATTAAAGAGATTTTTTGCTTCACTGTTGTTGTTTTTTCCTGACTGAATCACTTCTTCCACTCTGAGTCTATCATGGACACAAATAGCTTTCCAGCATTGAAGCACCCACTAAAGTAAACCTAAGTTTAATCTAATGGCAGCATTTGTCTCTGGGTGGTGCAGCACTGGGCAATTCAGTCAGCTGCTCCACATCTCTTTCCATGGAGCTCAAAAGGAGAATAATTCTTTTTTTTTTTTTTTTTTTTTTCTTCCCTCCTAAGAAGAAAAGCAGTTTTGGCCGTTCCTTCTGAATATCCAGTCAATGGCATCAGCATTTACTAGTATTTCAATAAAGCAGTGGTACATAAACATGCTAAAGGCTCAGTCATTGAAGCACTCTGTCTGAAACTCCTATTAAATCCAAGGGTGGAGCGCTGAGTGCCTTGAAGGGCCTCACAAGATAAGGCTCTAAAAGATACACTTAATTTGTCTTGTTATTGTTCAAAGATCCTTGCTAAAAATACAATGTGAGCCGAGAGAAAAGTATTATGGTTCAGTGGAAAGACATCCTCCTAATCATTAAATGAAACAAACCGGTGCTAAAAAAAGTCTTTGTTGTGAGACACTTCTCCGCTCTTTATCTTAGGGGATGCACTTAAGGGGTAAAGTCTAAGTCACTGAAAGTGCACGAAACGGAAATCCTTCCAAACCATGGATGGACTTTAGCACCATGTCCTTAGCAGTGAAGATCCAGAGCACTTTGAGAATTTATAAATACTCACTCATGCTTTAACCTATTAAACCTATACAAGTGTCACTTGCGTGTATATATTTGACTTACATAGTTTTATAATATTCCGTTTATATACGGTATAAGCAGGGGAAAGAAAAATCACCTTGTCCAAGGGGAACAGAAGGTATATTATATACTCTGTGTCCAGGGTTCTTTACACAGACTTGCTGGATTGTATTTCCATCTCTCAACAAAAGTATTTGAAGAAGCTGTAAAACTCAAACAGAATGCTAAAAGAAAGTGGGGTCAGTTATATAAGAGCTGGCATCAGTTTGTTACGTTTTTCCTTACCCACTCCCGAATAAAAGGGACAAAGAAGTTAACATTGAGGGAATGTGTTCCTAAACCACATGATATCCTTATCAGATTGTCATGTACAACAGAAGTTCTCACACACAGACCCCATGCTGGTGATCTGCTGTGAGCTGCCCCATCACATGATGCAAGCTCTCTGCTCCCATTCAGATCACTAAAACGAGCTGAAAGAAGCTAGATTCCTCACACTTCCCCAGAAAAAGCAAAATCTCCAGTGAACACAACCACACAAATTCACTGTCACTGGGAAGACAACACAGAGCAGTTGCAAATGAGAGGTGAGAATATGAAGATCGTCTAACTATTAAAACCTATTCCAGGAGGAAAAGTCTGAAACTGACTGAGAAAAAGTCCACTCATAAGCAAGGAAGCAGAGAATCAGAGAAATAAGCAAGACAGGCAAAATACAAGGAGGCTTGTACTTTCAGTGTTCAATTCTGAAAACTCCACTTGTAAATTTACAGAAAAAGAGTAATATGCTGTTTAAGACAAGTCCTGCTTAATATGCTGTTTAAAACAAGTCCTGCTTTGTCCTGTACGTGTCTCTATTTCCACTCAGTGTTGTGAACTCTGTAATTTAATTGCTTTTTCATGTAGCTGAGGTGAAGTGGAAAAATCCTCTAAAATTTTTAATATTAAATAAAAGTTCTAGACAATATCTGGTCATTTCAATATGTGGCCTGTTTTTAAAAGTGCTGAGGGAGCTCTTAGATTCTCCGCATTTTTGGAAATGAAGCCATGAAATGTGGATTTAGGATGCTAACTTTAGGCTACTGTTTCTGACATTCTTAACTTTTGAAACACATTTGCTCATGCAGCGATGGATTAATAAAATCCCAAACACGAGATTATTTTTAAAAAGATAATTTCAAATCCAGATTTCTGGATGAAAGTTGTTTACTGACTATGATTGGGAGGAATAGCTGAGATTATGGTGACTGAAAGAATACACAGAAGATTCATTCCCACATCGTATCAGTTTGTTTATTTTGTACCTAGAATATGGTTCTCATAAAAAGGCAGCAGCAGACGGAAGACATTACTCTTGGCTCGCTTGCTACTAAACCCAGTTCTGCTGCCCTCCTGCTATACTTTTTCTTGCAGTACAGAAGAGATGATTATTCTGTTATTTTAGAAGAGTTTGGAGCATTTCATGGCTTCTATTTTTGTGGTTCCATTTGGTTTGAAAGGGCTTGGATTTCAGCACGAAGTGGCATGGGTCACACTGCATGGGGACAGACTTTGTGCACGTGAGCAAAGGTCAAAATCAATCATAGCTTTGTATTTCCAGCCCTATTACTTTTGGCAGTTTACCCTGCCAGAAGGGGCTAAAATATTTGCTTCCCAAAAGGAGTAAACATCAATAGGCGGCAGGCGGATAATCAGCTTCTCAGCCACACAGCAGTGAGAAACGAGGAAACGGGATCTTCTTGCAACAGCCATTCAGCTATCTAACTGCTACATGTAACGTTTCCAGTAAAAAAGTTTAAGGTTTTCACAGCACAGTAATTTGAAAAGGACAATAGGCCTATTTAGGTAATTATGTTATGCAGGCTTTGTTATTAGGCAGCCCTGCTCAGTCCCAGAAAGTCTGGATAATCAAAAGTGTCCAAGTACAGGAAGGGGAAAAGTACAACCCCACCCTCCCTCGCAGCCGCTGCCAGGATCCGTGGATCCTGAAGGGTAAAGTCTATTTACTGAAGTTCCTTGGCCATTTTATACATCCACCGATATCCTTCCTCGTGGGGCTGCGCACCACTGCCTCACCGGGGTGGGAGCCACCCACTGTGGGACCCCCTGCCAGGGCAGACAGTGGGGAAGGGGCTAGGGACGGGCCCCCCGCTCACACACACACCAGCGCTGGCCCCCGTGGCTGGGCGGACCTGAGAACTCATCGCAGCTCCACTCGCTTTTAAGGTTTCAGTGGGACGGGCGGACGGCCACAGCCCTTTCCAGCACGGCATCTCTTTCACAAACAGGCTCCCAAACCCAAACGCCAGTTGCGCAGCACAGTCACAGAGCTTCAGCTGTGTGCGGGGCGGTGCGTGAATTAGATCGGAGCACATGTGGGCCCAACCTGCCCAGCGGGCTGCCCGGCTCCCCACACACCAGGGAAAGCTGCGGCCCTGGCAGCCGTGCAGGCACGACGTTGGCATGCTTAGCGAACGCAGCCCTGGGAAGCGCTCTCAGCAGTAAGTGGGGATTTAGCTGGATGTGAGGATGACTAACTTGGCTGTCTGAAACATTATCTCTCCCTTTCAACTCCTTAACTTCAGCGTAACCTCTGCGAGGCAGCGCTGCAGCAGGCTAGCTTTGTTCTGACAAGTTACACCTTCACTGCACAGACGCATTAGGCAAGCGGGGAGTCACCCAAAGATACATTGCTTTTCCTCCAAGCTTATCCCACCCCGGCTTCACCAGCGAATGCCTCTCATCATTTTTATCTGCGGGAGTTTTTGACAGCAGTGCACGTCCATTAGAGTTTTCCTGCGCCAACGGATGAATCGGGCGACCTAGATGAGAGCCTACGTAGAGGACTGGTTGCTCTCATCTCAATTCATTTGGAAGAAAAATATCCCCCTGTGACGTTTTGAGTGTGAAAATCTGCGTATTGAAGAGGATCAGAAACAAATACTTCTCATCACACATTTCAGGGCATTAAGCCACAAGTACAAAAAATGAAATACATACTCTATTCCTAAGCATATCAGTTCTAATGATTACAATGTAAAGTTTTTACATGAACTTTAAAGAAAATAACCTGGTTCAAACAGATCTTGCCTTTTGGGCACTAGCAAACACACCTGCAGCAATTTGATACCTGGGAATGCAGATTACAAGTCCTTACTTCAAAATGTTTGTTTTTAAATTCAGAAAGATAAAAGAAAAAGTTTTTTTTTCTTTTCTTTTTTTTCTGTTGAGCGCAGATGTTTCCAGTGCTCCCAGTGTTTGCAGGTAACAAGAACCCAGCCCAAATGGAATTCAGAAGTAAAATGTATGCCTTGTGGATTTCCATCTTGACAAACTTTCTGGAAGTGAATACCTTCTAGACCTCTCCAGATGAACACTTCCTAGAGGACCCAAACAACAACTGCATGCTACAGGAGTGCCCACCTCATGCCGCACTCTGTTGCCATGTGCTTAACTTTTGCCTTCCTCATACTCCGTACTCTTCTGAACATAGCAGAACACAGCAGGTAGTAGTATTTCATGATATTATCAGCTAAAATACTACATACTACCAAGCAAACTTATTCTGGCTTTGGGCCTTCTCATTTGTTTTTCACTTCTTTAATTAATGAAGACTAATGAAGATTTTTTTTAATGCTTTTCCAAGTCCAAAGGAAAATCACTCTGCTTTGCAGCTCATTCCCTCTCAGGGCTTGTCCCGTTCCCACTTCCGCACTAGTGAGCTAGCTCTCATTTCACCAAAAGTTAGTTGTTTTCTCTCGGTAATTGTTGTCACTACACAGTAAGGGAGCAAAAAATTCCATCTGTCTTGACGTATAAATTAATCATTCCTGCTATCTTAACTTCAGTCATTTTTGTCCTCTCAAGAACTATTCTCCTCTAATTTGATTATCTCAACCTGATTTTTATCTTAGGAGAAAAGGAGAATTACTCATGATTAAAACCGCAGTCAGTTCTAGTGTCATCCTTGAGTCCACAATTTCCTTTGTAAATAAATAACTTCTCTTTAAGCCTATAACGAGGTAAGAAGCATCAGATAAAATATAAACACGCGTGAGTACACAAATGTATACAGTTTGTGTGTAGCACATCTTACAGTACACAGTGGCTAGCGTTGGGGTTGCAGACCCATAGCATGCTTTTCCTCCCACGGGGGGAGGAAAAAAATGCCACACAAGTTAAGGTCATGTTTGGGTTGCATCTTACCCTCTGCTTCACTTTGCAGACCCTCATGGACTACAAAATTTGTGATGTTGCAGGAGTGCGTTGGCTTAGTGAATTGTAACGGGATTAACATCCTGAAGATGTGCTGAAGTTGGAAACCCACAGCGATCTGCCTTAACCTCTGCAGTAGCCAATTTTGCGAATATTTCAGCTGAAACCTTGATGCTAGGACTGTTGCTGGGCTGTTCTGAGGCTGCACTGTTCAGGTATTATTCCCTTAACAACCATTTACCTTTTACTCTGCAATCACATCTCTATCAAAGCAATATTTCTCAGGCCTAAAGCTATGGCTGCAGGTGTACTGCTTTTATGGGAGAGCCAAAAATAAAACAACAAACTAGACAAAAAAAAACCCAAGCTATTACATGTCTAATAATTCCAAAATTTGGCTACGATTACATTTCATTAAATCACCGAGGTCTTCATAAAAAGGAAGAATCAGGAAACACTTCAGTTCAAATTAACCATTGTTATCTTTGTATTCGTAATCACTGGAGCAACCTTTAAACCACTGAAAGTTTTCTCTGCCGCAAAAATTCTGGTTTTTGACATTATTTTCAGGGGATACAAAATCAAAGATTAAACGCTGACAGAATTTTACTATTTTATCATCCGCGTACATATATTTATCCACAAGCATAAGGTGCTTACTATTTTTCCAAAACTAAAATCACCACTTGCTCTAGAAATCAAACAGAATTCTTCATTTAGACTCTCACTGAATTGCTTTTCCACATACACATACCATTAAATTTCACAGTTCAAATTACAGCGATATATACCAGGTTATAATTCAGGTTTCATCCTGACTTTAGATTCCCGTGCAGTGAAGATTAGTCCCATTCCTCACAAAGTTAGGAGTCTGGATTCCTGAATGCATTTGCCCTGTATTTTTCTATTTACTCCTGTAAATATTAGTTTCTCTGAGTAGCTAAACTTTGCCGTTATCAACACTCGTCTCTTATCGCAGGCCCTAAGCAAATGACATATTTACCACTCATTCCATTCCGATAAGGGTAATCCCGTGTTTAACTTGTCCAAGAACAAACATCATATATTTTGTTCTTAAGAATCGTGCCTCTGGTTATTTAAAAAAAAAAAAAAAAAAAAAAAAAAGAATGAACAGGAGATTTTTAAGCCAGAAGGTATTTAAGAATATTTTGCAAATGAAGGTTTTTTATGATAGCTTATTCCTCCTACTTCAGGAAAGTTTAATTCTGAGTTTCCACGATATCGCTGCCGAAGTTATAGGAAAGTTCCTTCCACAGCAGAAAAAAATCACATTTTTAGTGAAACATCTGTTTGGGTTTTTTTCGCCTCTAACTGAAGCTTGCCCAGAGCTAGTAACAGCATTTTGAAGAAAGAGCTTTGTTTCATATCTTGTTTGAAGCATTTTGAGAACAGCGTGGAGAAAATAAACATCCCATGCTGAACTTCACAGTCTAATTTTAATTGTAAAGACATCAAAATATTTGCAGTGTCGTAGGCTGGTAGTCATTGATTTCTGCAGTTCTGTTTTCCTTACTCAACCCACACAAATGTCATTTGCTGACTGAAAACTTTTGAGAAGAGTGAAGAACGCATTACTTCATGACCATTTGTTAAATTTATTTTTTAATCCACCCCCCCCCCCCGCCTTGAGATTAACTGTATTGAAGGGAGAACTATTCTAATTCCAGGCAACTTTTTAACACACTGCAAAACAAAAATTTCAAACAATCAGACAGTTAATGGTGTACTGGAGTGCCTGAGAGCGTGCTAAAAACATTTTGATAGATAGCCAAGTCATTTATCTAAATCACCGTCAGAGCAGTGAAGCATCCTGCAAGCTTTTATGCAGAGTATAAGGGGATGCTTTCTGGCACTTCTTTCTCAAACTTGAAATTGTGGAGTTAAAATACTATCAGTTTACTACCTATGTATTCCAGTACAAGATCAAGACTCTCTAACATAATAACATGTTTTCTTAAGTGTCCCACCACTAACTCTTCTTCCTCCATTACCAGTGTTACACTGCCTGAATCTCAAGGTATAGAAATAATTGATGTTTAAACTCAAAGGGTGCTCACAGTGAGTAGTTTTATAGCAAAACAGCAACTTCTTAGAGCAACAAAGTGAAGAAGAAAGGTGGCAGCAAGGTCAGTACAAAGAAATATTGCCTTTTCTTCAGAAACTTAAAACTACTGTCTGATTTTTGGAATGGCACCTACCCAGTACAATTCAATGGCTTTGTAAGAACTGCACAGAGCAGCATTTTAATTGCTTGGCTGCTCTGCAGAAATGCACTTCAAGACAACAAGCATCCAGATTATCAAATGTGGTGCAAAATTAGATTAAGGAAGCAAAGAAAAAAAAAACAACTACTACAGAGATGCTATGTAAATTCGTCCTTCACTGGTTGGAGTTTTACAAATGTTGTATAGTATTACAATTTTATGTGTTCCTTCTTGGCTTCAGAACTGTTGTAAGGATCAATATACTACATAAGAAGGGATAAACAGAAAACAGCTCAGCGCTTTCTTTTCTTTTTCCCTCCTGGCTAAAGGAAAAAAAAGGCTTGCAAAGCACATTCTGCACAAAAATTCCCCCCGCCCCTCATCACCCCTGCACTTAATTAAAAGTATTTTTTTACATACATGCAAATAATAATAATTGCTTTAAAGTGGAAAAAGAACAGTTGGGACCTACATTGAGCACTGTGCCGGTGTTGCCACTCTGTTTGTGCCAATCCACTGAAGCATGCTTTGAGAGCCTTCTCCTGGAGCATGCAGGAAGACGGACTCGCAGTGTAGAAATCCAGCATCTGAGCAGGGCTCACTGCTAGAACATCCATACAGTCAAACATGATTCCCCCTGTACAGAATGCCTGCAAAAGTGCTTTCCTCTAGGTGTGGAGGAAAATGGCACATAAAAGTACACCCAACTCCATCAAACTCTGCCCCTTTTTTGGCACGTAGGCTGTTGGTCTTTTTCCCAGACCAGAATCATGAATTATGACAGACAACACAGCTAAAAGCCTGTAATTGATCCAAATGATCATTTACCATTTTCCAGGCTGCCCAGCCAATCCAGCAAGATGGGGGGAAGCAAGCCGCATTCCAAGTTTTAGCTCCGTTCAATCTCCCCCAAAATCTCTCTAGAACCAGTCCCGCTCCTCAGGCGCTTGCCGGCTGCCTGCAGCTCCTCGCGCCGTGCCGACGGCCGAGTCCCGGGGTCGAAACAGCTCCGGTAGGACCTCTGGATCCCCCTCAGCCATGAATAGATCCTTCTGCCTCTGAACAGCTCACTTCCTACTACTTGTGTCACACAGAATGAAAGATTGAATTGCCTAATATATGCGAGTGAACTTTCTGTGAACCCTTCCCAGGCTGCTAACCTTCAAATGACCCAGGCGTCTGACATCACCAGCTCCCAGGATTCTCACACGGCTTAAAAACTCCCAGCAGCCCGGCAGCGAGCAGGCAGCGGGCGGTGAGGGAGAGCGTGGCCCTCCCCGGGTCACCCCGCTTCGTCGGGACCAGCAATAGCAAGCAGGGAGGTGAAGAAAAAATAAAATTTAAATTAAAAAAAAAAAAAAAAAATTAAAAAAAAATCAGGAGGAGGAGAAACATGCCGGGAATAGAAACAGGCCCTGCGTCGGCCGGGAGGCTGTTTGCACAGCGCTGCTTTAGGTGGTTGCTGCGAGCGGGGGGTTTGCGCATCTCAGCTCAATGTGCTGAAACTTCGGTGCCCTCGCCCCGCTCCCTTCTCCCCCCGCCACATTCTTTTGCTCCCCTGGAGAGGCCATGAGCGACGCCCCGGCGTCCACTGATGCACCGGAGCCACAGCCACAGGCAACACCCCAGTTTAGGGGCAGTGCAGAGCAGACTCACCCCGAAAAGGCACCGCTGCTCGGTGCCACCCACAAAGGGATGGCTGGCACAGCCCTGCTCCTCGTGTGCCTATCCCTGCTGTAGGGGGGTCTGCAGGTGCCCACCTCTCCTCACCAGCCCTTTTCTCACTCCTGAAACAGGCAGCTGTGTGTGACAACTGCAAAGGACTCAGGCCACACTGCTCAATGCTCCCAGGCTTGCCCACTGGTCTGGGATGTGTCCCTGCAGCATGCCCATGCAGGCCCAGAACGGTGAGACCACAGCCCAGCTGGGGGTAGGAGGTAACTCCCTCATCTCCCATCCTGGCCGCCATCATCCCAGGTCTTGCCTGTCTCTGATTAGCTGAGAGGGGCAGGGCTGGCTCGCGTGGCCCCGGAGGGACTGTATCAGCTTTCACACAGCTAATGAGCCCCAGCTACCAGGAGGGTGAGAGGGGAAAAAGGCAATGGGCTTCTTTGTGGGGTCCAGACCTACCTGGTGCTTATCCTGCTCTCCACAGTTATTGGTGAGAGGAGGCCACAGATGCCCCCAGGCAGAGCATCCAGCTGTCCCTCACATCCATGCACTGCAGAGGCTGCCATGTCTTCCCTCACCAACATTTTGAAGGCACTGGGTTATCCCTGCCTTCGCTTCATGGCTGGAGACCCACCCAATGCCCATGCAGCAGCATTTCTGGCATCCCTCCCTTATGGTTGCAAGGCCCTGCCAGGGCTGCCCATGTGCCAGCACCATGTGCATGGCTCTCTGCTGGCCTACCCTTTGCATCAAGCCAGCGCAAAGCCACCTTCTGTAAATAATCATCCTCTGCAAAGTCTTGCTTCCAAAGAAAGTTCACCGACACCTTATTCCTACAGACACTTTAAAAGTGGAAAATAACATTGAGGGGTCTGGAAATGCTCCCTCTGCCCCATTGGAAAGGGCATAAGCTAAATCACCACATGTATGCTTTTACTTTCAGCAAATGCACCAAGGATCTGGCAGAGTGAGCGTGCACAGCCCTGAGGAGCCCAGGGCGTGATTTCCAGAGGCACAAAGGAGCCTGGTTCCAGGAGAGGCAAGATTCCTTTCTCTGCCTTTCAGCCGTTCCTCCCTTCTGCCCTCCAGACACTTGTGTGGCTTCTCAGCATTTTGTGAAAATCAAAAGCTAGCTCAGGTTGGAAAACTGGAAAATGAAACACTCCATTACTGCATGTTTTCTCAAATCCCAAAATCAGAGCCTGGCAGAGCAAGGGACAACGTGCAGGGCAAAGGCACAATTGAGGACTGTAAAGAAATACTGGAGAGAGATTCACTCTGGGACCTGTGCAACCAGTTTAATGGATGTGATGTCCTCT